CGTCTTAAAAAAATATTATTATTATAATCAATCTATTTTTAGAAATAGTTAGATTTCTTTTATAAGATAGTAAATATATATATATATATATATATATATATATATATATATATATATATTATATATATATATATATATATATATATATATATATATATATCAACTCACCCAATTTTATTCACTCAATTCCTTTATTGCCTATTTTTTATATTACTTTAAAACATTTTAAACTGAAAAATGGTGCAAAAACCCTAACACAACCCAAACCCAAACCTATAACCAAGCACATAACCACACAACATTTTCCGTCGAATTCGCTATATACGAAAATTATATTAACTTATTTAACTCTCAGTGTTCACCGCAATACTATACAAGTAAACTTATTTTACTCTCATTTCACCTCCGATCCAATTCCCTTCCTCATCAAACTTTCTACAAAATGTTTTTTTTTTTTTTCAAAAAACCCAAATTTACAACAAAACCTTTTTGGTACATCATCTTCGATGTCAAAAATCCAAACACAAACAACCATCCAACCACCACCCACGCAACCATCGGTAGAATGTGTTACAAAAACGCAAGTTGGAAGTAGTAATATAGGGAAAGGGAAAACGGCTACCACGAAAAATGAAGAAATTCCACAATGGTTAATGCTGGAGAAAGAGTATGCTTTAGCGGTAGCGTGGTTTGGAAATCGAAAAATGGAACTCGCGAGAATTGTATGAAGAAATGTGCTTTTTGGGAAGCGACACTCGTTAAAATTTACACTATCTTGAAAAAAAACATACGACAATACCGATATGCTAAGTAATAAATGGGGTATACAACAAGCTATATTTGGAAAAAGTGGGGGGTTGCAACGAATTTGATTTGTTTACAACTGTAAAAGACCAATATCGAGTCGAGATGGGTCATATGTTCGATTTTGAGAGATCATAGGAGATGCTGAGAAGAGATCCAAAATGGACTCAAACTCCAGCATCAGTGGATGTGTAATCTAAGAGGTTTCGAAATTCGAGTTTGATTAACACATCAACCTTAACGTCGATATTAATGAGATTTCGAACAACATCGAAGAGATATCCTCTCCACAACGACCGATATAACACGACAAGGCGAAGCACAACAAAATATACAGATGAAGTTGACAGAAAATCAAAGCATATAACGGAACTTGAAGCGAAGTTCCATAACACATACAACTTTAACAAGGAAAATTTAATTTTCGATGTGAACATTTGGAATTACTTCGTAGACAAAGGGGCCAATCAAAGCGACGCAGCCGATAAGATATTATGAATGTTTTTGCAATTCTTAACCGAAGATACGACGCCCAAAGATGCGGATTTGGTGGAAGCGGTGAAGGAGAAGATCCAACACAAACTTATGGACAAAATTTAAATTTTAGGATCATTTTATGTTTTTAATTTATTATATTTTTCAAGTATGCTAATGTTTTTTTTTTTTTTTTTTTTTTGAATTTAAATGTTATGGTTTATTTAAACAGTATGTTAATTATATTTGTTTTTTATAATCATAAAAAAACATGAAAAAAAAAGAAAAAAAATGATGACATATAAATTTTTTGATGTGGAGGTGTGGTGACTATTTTCTATAGTTGTATTATAACTCGGAGGATTATTTGATATATGAATATATAACTTGTCCCGTTATTATAGGACAAAAAAATGTCTTAAGTTCCATCACGGTTTTCTTCAAGTTTTTGAACAATTTTTAATAAATAACAAAATCCTATGATCAAAGATTGATATTCCCGTTTTATATATGAATGAATAGTCTTTGCTTGAACCTTCAAATGAAAAGTTTGTTAATATTTTCCAAATTTTTGGTAGGAAAATTTTGAATGCCTTCTTTCATTTATGTTTTGGTTAATAATGGAAATTAAGTTACGAATACATTGCGTTTCTGACATGATTGGCGTGATTCTTTTTGTTACTAGGTGAAACTCTTTGTTTGTCCCTACTGTCTTTACATAGAAAAATAAGTAAAATAGTAAAATATAATCATGTCTATTGGTCATAAATTTTCTATACATATGTCCTAATGCCAACTTGAACAACATAATACAGCGATAGGACGAGCCTCTATTATAATTAGTTGACACTATGCGGGCAAATTTTCCACAGATTTTGTGATAATTTATCGTTGTGACAGACAGATTTATTGACAGAGTACTGATAGACCATATTTTTGATGGATTGTTGATGAATTGTATTGGCGACAGTTTCCGATGGATTTCATTAGTGATAGTTTTGCTGACAGGCTATCAATGAAATGTTTCAAACCGCAAAGATAAGACTATCAGGAGTGGAGAAAACGAAGGATGTGTGATGCTGACTTGAACAGCCAAGACACGTGTGAACTTCGTAAGACGTAAGACGCGTGAAGACAACCAATCAAAAAGGAGGGGTTGGCAATGGAATTTTGATTGTTTTCTTTGTTTCTTTTTCTTATTCTACTGTGGATTGAAAATTTAAAAAAAAAATTATTTCATTTTCAACTTATTACAACTATAAGTAATACTTATTTTACATACATTTTACACTACAAAAATACAGAATGTCTACCTATTTTCTTTAGAGTAAACTACACGAACGGTCTCTATGATTTGGGGTAATTTGCGCATGTGGTACCTAACTTATTTTTTAACTTGGAGGGTTCATACTGTTTGTTTTTGTCATGCGTTTGATCCCTAATATTTGTTTTTGTTACGCATTTGGTCCATGCCTTACCTAAAAATATTACTATTTAAATAGAGAAAAATGATAAGATAGGTAAGGCAGAGTGAGAAGGATGAGGTTGAGGGTATGTTTATTTAAATAAATTAAAAAATCAATGGCAAAATAATATTTTTAGATAAGACAAAGACCAAGCGCGTAACAAAAACAAATAGTAGAGACATTCTGAGTTAAAAAAAAAAAATAAGTTAGGGACCAAACACGTAATTTACCCTAAACCATAGAGACTATTCGTGTAATTTACTCTTTTATTTTTTTTCTTCAACATATGAATTTAAATCAAAATACTTCACCCACTACAAACACCCCAAATGACCCATTTGAAAATCTTAGTTACATATAATTAAATTTCGACGCGGAAAATTTAAGCGCATTTTAAAAATTCAATAGCAAGTTCTCGAAAAATATCGCAAATAGATTTTATGGTTTTTTTATTTATTTATTTTTATTATTATAGTAATTTAGGTTTAATTTTCTATGTTTTTTTTAGTAATTTAGCTTTAGTTTTCTAATTTTTTAGGTTTAATTTTCTATGTTTTTTAATTAATGTAATGTTGTTTCAATTAATGTAAAATAATTTAATATGTTTTAAATTATGTTTTTATTTAATTTAACCATAAAAGAAATAAAAAAATTATGGAGTGGTAACCATTTCCAATATCTAGTGTGTTGATGTAGGATTGGTGGTGATATTGACGTGGTGCAGAGGTGGTAACGTTTTTTCGGTGGGTTGGTGTTGACTACTCTCCATAGCCTAAGAGTTCAAAATATAAAAATTGTCCAATATTTGTTCGATACACTAAGGTTGGAGGGAGTTGTAACACTCCTAACACATTGTCATGTCAGCTTTTTAAGTGACACATTATTTTTCTCAATTTAGCACATAATCTTACCATTTGGTTGAGAATAGTAACAGTCATAACACTCCATTTTTTTGTTTTTTTTCTAAGTTAATCAAATTACTTTATTTTAATACACAAACATTTTTTACATATTGAACAAACTTTATTAAATTATATATTAATAGATGAATTGTAATTGAAAATTATAAATTTAAAAAAAAAAGTTTTTTTTTCTTAAATTATATTGTATGTACATCAATGGCCCACACATTTGACCCCAAAAATCTATGTTGTTTAGAGTGCTATATCATTTAGCCATGGAAATAATAAAAAAAAAAATCAAAACCTAAACAACAGAAAAAAATTCAAGTCAAAATTTTTTATTGACTCATTCAAATGGTAGTAAATCAATATGTGGTAGAGTAATCCTCCTGCCATTGATATTAAGAGAGTGTTTGGAGAAATTAACTTATAGTGGTTTGAGAAAACAACTTTTAGAAAAATGTTTGGATTAGAAATAACCTATAAGCTATAAGCAGGGGGGATGCTTTTTAAAAGTAGTTTATTTAGCTTATCTCCACTACAATAAGTTGATTTTTAATGTTTCCTATCCAAACACTTAAACTTAACTTATAACGACGGAGATAAACAATAAGCTATAAGCTCTCTCTTTTTTCCCTATCCAAACACTTTCTAAGAAAATAAAAAACAACATTTAAAATAAAAACAAAAGCAATTAAAATTATTGTTGACTTATTCATACACAATAAAACCGAAACGATAGAATAAATCCTCTCCATCCAAATTAGGTTTTACTCTATCTCACACACCTATACTCCATGCTCCACAATCTCCTTCTTCCCCAATAAGCCATCATCCTCCGGTGTCTCTTAAACCTTTGATGATTTCAAAATTGTTTACAGTGATCGATCTAGGCACTTTTTGGAAGGTATCTACCCTTTTAGTTGAACATCATATGAAATTAAATTGGGGAGTCAAAGCATTTTGCAATCCGATTAAAGTGGTTTGGACCAATAAAAACCTCCAAGCACTTCTCTTTGTAGAAACAATAAACAAGATCGTTTGATTCTATAAACAATAACAAGAAACTAAAGACAAGAATGAAGATCAAAATGGTGATGAATGCTTAGATTAACAAATCTCTAGAAGAGTTCAACGTGAACTTCTTTGTGAGAGCTAGGTAGGGCGATACAATCGTTAACCCTAAAAAGATACATGCATGCACATTAAATAATCTAACCCTAGCAAACCATAGTTACGAGGTGGACATGCCCAACCCATTATAAATGAGACTATTCTAGTACAAAAGGTTTGACACAACACATTAATAACCCAACAATCTCCCCATTTGTGTCAAATAAAGAAAGGAGATTCTTCATTGTTGTTTCTTCTGAACCTTGAACAACTTGGTCATTAAATTCAAAAGGGTATTTTTGATCACAAGATACCACTTGATCATGCCATTGAATCCTTTCAGATTCGCATCATCGTTTGTTTTGCATGCTACAGTTAAGCCCATGATGTTGTTCAGTGCAGCAGTGTAGTATAAATGTTTGTCTAATAAAAAGAACAAAATTTGCTGAACTTTTTCACCCTCTTTTCTTTGATACATCACGCTCCAATCTTCTTTCCTAATCTTACCCAACTTCCTCTTTGGGAAGTCCATCGGTTCTTCTCCAAGTTTCACAACTGGCCTTTTCTTTAACATAGAAGCTATTTCCACATCCATTTTTGCAACTTCATGAATGTAGCAAATCATCATTCTTCTCATATGAGAAATGATTGGCTCATACTTTTGTTCATCCTTTGATAACATTAGAAACAAGGAAATCCAATCATTCATGTTCATACATGGTAGATCAGCAAGTGTGATTGTAACATACACGTTTTGAAATTGTGTTTTGTAATTTTTAAAACTGAGTAATATTATGAAATATTATATGTTTATGAGTATTGATTTCTAACAAGTTACTAGAATTGAAGTAAAAATATGTTTAGAATTACTCAGAAAGTATTGGAAGTCTTATAAGATTCCAATCAAAAGGCAAATATTGAAATTTAACGAAAATATATAAAATTTGAAATAAGTAAAATTTTATTATTGAAAGTTGTATATAATTTCATTATAAACATTTAGGCGAAATCCTCATCGAAATCCGAGTTATAACGAAGAAGTTATGACCAATCGAAGATCCACGACAAAACCGGCATAGTGCCGAATAACTTAAAAAGTGAGTTTTCGATAAACTACTTTTTAGCCTATATGATCTAAATGAAAGTCGTAGCACTCATTAAACCTAGAATTTTCATAAAAAGAACGTCAAAATCTAACTTCATATGAGGAAGTTATGATTTTTCTAAGTTTTGATATAGTAGTAGACAACTAAAAACTCGAAATAAAGATCGAGTGATTTTTATCCGACACGACCTAAATGAGAATCAAATGTCTCATCAATAGTAATACAACAGTAAAAAGACAGACGAGAACAAACATCGGATGAAGAAGTTATGATTTTTTAACGGATTTTCCTGTCCCGATCTGTTAAAAATAATAATATTAAAAATAAAGTCAAAATTTGACGATGGAATCTAAATGAAAGTTGTAGAGTATAATTTCACCTACACATTCATATAAAGAACGTTAAAAACGGACTTCGTATGCAAAAGATACGAATTTTTGAAGTTTTTAGCAGAAACTTCAAAAATGGCTTGAAGGGGGAACACCCAGCGTACTTCGTACGCCCAACATTCGAATGCAGGGTCAGAAGTCGGCCACTTCCTTCTCTCTTAGCACGAGGTGACATGCATCGCACAATCTTGCTACATCCAAGCCCGAGTTCCGATCAGGCGACACCTCGCATGTATGCCCCGCGTACTGAGCCGCCTCGTAGTACGCCCAGGGCCGGTCCATTGATTTTTAATGCTCGGGGCGAGATTCTAAACTAATGCCTTTATTTATTTAAAAAATAGTAAAAATGAAATAAATTTTACAATCAAACCAAAACAAGGTTATACAAACAAAAGTATACATAAAATTCATCTAAAACGATGTCTCCTTGCATTTTTTGAAGCAAAAACATCTATTATTTTATCATAATCAACACTTCGTAGGAATTGAATTTCAATATTCAAAATTGCTAATCCATTTAATCTTTCTTGAGTCATGGTACTTCGAAGATATGACTTCAATAACTTCAATTTCGAAAAACTTCTTTCCGCGGAAGCAACTGTGACCGGTACCGTCAACAAAGTTTTATATGCCACCAACACATTGGGAAACATGTCCATCTCCTTTGCAAACTCCATAATTTGAATAGCTGTCCAAGGAAGTTCACCTTTATATGCTTCATCCGGCAACATTTCCTGCAAAACTTGTAACTCAATAAATAAATCTTTTCCATCAATATCAAGTTCCTCACCATTTGTCAAACTAGTTTCAAGTTTCTTACAACATTTTTTTAATTCATCATCAAGTAAAGATTTTAACTTTGAACCATCAAACAAAAATCCAAAAATAGATTCAAAATGTTGCGTTTGCTCAAATCTACTTCTCAATTGAGTTAGAGCCATATCTACTATAACAATAAAATAATCCGTTCTAAATTTTTCTTGAGATGATTGTTATTCTCTTTCGGTATTTGGAACTTCATCAAATTGTTTTTTCTACTATAAACACGTTTGATAGGAAATTTTGGTTCTACTCCAATATTTTCTGCTATGTTTTTAGCCTCATTAATAGCAATGTCAAACCCATTTTCCCTATATTTTTCAAAATAATTAACTAATCCTTCTAAATTTTTTATTGCAACATCAAGAATCATATCTTTGGATTGTAATTTTTTACTTACCAAATTAATTCTAAATAAAATTTCATGCCATATCACTAAACTTAAAATAAATTCAAAATTAGAAAATTCACCATCTACTAATGATTCCGCATCTCTACAAACCTTACCATCATCACTTACTTGAGCTAATTTTGTTAATGCTTCTTTTATTTGAAAAAGTTGAGTTTTTATTGCTTTAACACTTTCAATGTGACTTTCCCAACGAGTAGTAGACAATGATTTTAGGGTTAACTCATCTACATGGTCAAGTAAAACACTCCATCTATGTGTGGAGCTAGAAAAAACATTATATATTGTTTGACAAGTACCAAAAAATGTTTTAGCTTTATGACAAGAGTTTGCCATATCACACAAAACTAAATTTAAACTATGACATCCACAAGGCATATAAAAAGCTCTTGAGTTTATATCAAGCAATCTTTTTTGTACACCTTGATGTTTGCCTTTCATATTTGCTCCATTATCATATCCTTGTCCTCGAATACAATTAATATCCAAGTCAAGAGATTTTAAAGCATTTTGTAAAACATTAAAAAGTCCTAAACCGGATGTATCTTCTACCATTAAAAACTCTAAAAAAACTCTTCTACTTTTATTGGAACATTTGCAACATCAACACATCTAATAATCAAAGTCATTTGCTCTTTACGACTTGCATCCGGAGTGCAATCAAGAATTACCGAAAAATATTTTGCTTTTTTTATTTTTCTAATAATTGCACTTTTAACTTCGGATGCCAACAATTCAATTAAGGGATAATGACTTGAAAGGGTAACGAACTTTTGACTTTTGTCACATTTAGTCACTAAACTTTGTTTCGTTATCTATTTGCCATTGAACTATTGAAACTGTTCACATTTTACCCTTATGACCGGCTGTTACCGGTCATAAGGGTAAAATGTGAACAGTATCAATAATTTAGTGGCAAATAGATAATGAAAAAAAGTTTAGTGACTAAATGTGAACAAAATCAAAAGTTCATTTCCCTCTAAAAAGTTCAATGACTAAATGTGAACAAACTTCCTATTGTATTATGTTTTAGCAAAATTATTTATTTTTGTTTAATTGTAGCAACATTTGTTGATGAAGAAATCTATGAAATAAAAAAATAAAATGTAACATCCGGATTTCCAGGTATCATCACTTAAGTATTTTTCTTTTGAGTTAAGAAGAGAGACTCGACGAGTTGACGCCTCAACTCGTCGAGTAAGGTCGCGACTGATGACTCGAATTAATGAATGGACTCGATGAGTCGGTGAGGCGACTCGACGAGTTCGCGCTATTGGCAGAAACCCTAAATCTTTGGGCTCGAGCCAAATTTAAAGGCATTTATGGCCTTCAATTGTGACTACCTTTCCCATAAGTGAGAACCCTAGCGAGCTTGAGTGTGTAGAGTGAGAGGAAGAGCTATCTTGAGCTTTTTGGTGTGATAGATGTGGACCCTTCTAGGTTCAGAGAGCCGAGAATATGAAGCTTTAGTAGAGTAAACCTTGGGGTTCAAAGTTAGGAATCATTTATGGTATATATAATTACTTTCATCTTACACATAGATATGAAGTATTTTATATCAATTACGTGCTATGTGTGTATATTATTTGAATACTTGCTGTCTATACTGGATGAACGATTTTATACATGTTTTAAAAGATTTAAATGGTATATTTATTTTATATCTACAAATATGTTGCGGATGAAACATGGGTAGATGAAATAGTTGGTGTGTGATGAAATAAAATGATGAGAGATAGGTGATGATAGAAAGGTGGTGATAATTAGGTAAATAGATGATGATGAATATGTGATGTAGGATGAAAGGAGATACTATAACCTTTACCAACAATGTGGCGATGTAGTCATCTACCAGAGTATAGATGGCGACCACGGACTATTCTAGATAACCCAGTAGAAACACCAGCAGACTAATAACCTGTAGGTGATGAATTACGAGTTCATGTGATGTTGTAACTACGTATTCATGTGGTGATACTCTAACCCCTTACTATGAATTACGATTTCAGACGATGTTGTAACTACATATTTATGGGATGTCACAAATTTCGCATGCCAAACCAATGGTCATAATTCACATCAGTGAGAATGGTTCATTTTTTTTTTGTAAAACTAAAATCAGATTGAAAATTTTGATTTTTTATTTCGGAAAATGTCAAACCATTGGTTTTTTATTTCGGTTTTGGTTTTTTGTTTTTTTTTTTAAATATATTTTCAGGGTTTTGTTTTGTTTTTTTTTTTATTTCATAGTTTTCTTCATCAACTAATTTTGCTACAATTTAACAAAAATAAATAATTTGCTAAAACATAATACAAGAGAAGGTTTGTTCACATTTAGTCATTGAACTTTTTAGAGGGAAACGAACTTTCGATTTTGTTCATATTTAGTCACTAAACTTTTTTTCGTTATCTGTTTGCCATTGAACTATTGAAACTGTTCACATTTTACCCTTATGACCGGCAACAGCCGGTCATAAGGGTAAAATGTGAACAGTTTCAATAGTTCAATGGCAAATAGATAACGAAAAAAAGTTTAGTGACTAAATGTGACAAAAATCGAAAGTTTGTTACCCTTTCAAGTCATTATCCCTTCAATTAATTCATTTTGAATTTTATGACTAAGGTAATGAAAGTGACTTTTTTTTATCTTGAATAAGTTGAAAATGGTGTTTCATTATTGGATCAAACTCAGCAATCATTTGAAGTACACCTAAAAAGTTACCATTAGATTTCTCATATATTTTTTCATTAGTTCCACGAAAAGCCAAATTATATTCAGCTAAACATTTTACAACAGCAATAATTCTTACCAAAACTTCTTTCCAATGTTGAGTATCTTTTTTTATTCTTTCTTGTAACTCTTTATCAATTGTTTCATTTTTCCTTAACCTAAGTCGTGTTTGTGTCCAAGTTTTTAAATTAATCATGTGTTCAGAACTATGTTCATGTTCATTTAATT